GGCGTTGAAGTAGGAGGGGGAAAATGGCGGGAGAGGGGAAGGGGTAGAGGGAAGGGGAGGAAGGGCAAGAGTGCTGTTTCGATTTTGATCTATTTGACAGTGAGTTTCGATTCTGTGGGAATAATCAACCTACAGACGGCGTGGGTCTCCAGCATTTGTTTAGAACAACTTTTCTAGCCCCTCTCCCTTTGCGGGGGTGAGCAGTGCTTTCACTAAATAAGGCTGCGCATATGTCCCAGACGGCTGCCAAACTCCACTTTCAACCCCAACTTTTGTTCAGTGGAAGAAAGACCAGTGTTGGCCTGGGCCTGACTACGGCAAGGCCACAACATTTCGACCGTCGCATCCGACGACGTTCTCCGTACCCTCCACAGCATGGTGAGATCAGCGACAGTGACTTGCGCGTGCATAAGTTTAAAGTTATGGAAGACTTGCGCTGTATCTACCACACTCTTCTCCTACCCCACCTGGAGTTGGCTTCAAGACAGAGTCCAGAGAACCGGAGGTGGGGGAGGGCGCAGGCAGATGTTACGGTCGAGCACGCACCTTGGCGTTCCACTCCCCACCCCCTGGTCCAAACGGCAAACAACCGGGTTTTTGACAAACAACAACATCAACAAGAACTAAGAATGGAGGCTGGCGCGACTGAGACGCACCTAGGCGTGCCGCCACACCCGGGTCAGATCCCACGCATTGGGAGTGCCATAGAAGCCACGTTATGAAGAAGCCATTGGAACCTGACTCTAAGGCCACCAGCCAGCCACTCCATACGCAAGCACATTAGGTCGACTGCGAGGTCCATGCTATCCCGTCAGTTGGCAACCTGCCAAGCCGCTACTTTTAGTGCACCGTGATAGCTTCAGATACTTTATAATGAGGAGGAAAATGCGCTGAGTCGTCGATCTCACTCTCCCTTCACATTCTCAGGCCACAGCCAATGTCCGAGACGGTCCATTGACTGGATCGTGGAATGGGCGCGGTGGCTGACAGGGTCTAGTGAACGTGTATACGCGCGCTCCATGCATGTCCTAGCTCCTCAAACACAAGCACCATGATTACACACAAATCGGGTTGCGCAGTGCACATCTGACATGCGTGAGGGTGCCGTAAACACGCTGAGAGGGAGTTGTTTCAGTCTGACTCTCCTAGTGGACGGTTGTTGTGGAAGAACGCAATCAAATTTGCATCGTCAGGTGGTTAAACAGTTTGCACACAGTTCTGCATGGCGATGCGGATCCCGAGATGCTTATCGACGAACAGAAGTTCATGGATTGTGACTGTGGATACACGTGACCGGAAGTGCATCCGTCTGTGGTTGAGGACGTGGCCAGCCGTCCCATAGGCGAGGCGGATCCCGGGGCGTTCGTCACGTTAAGCGTCCATCAGGATGGATGGGAACATAAGACTGAAGAGGGTAGGCGCGAGGACGCAGCCGTGTTTTATGCCGTTGGTCAGTGCGAATTCCTCCGAGACATCTTCATTGTCCGTAATGCGTGCCATCATGCCATCATGGAGCTGACGCACCCTCTGACTGAATCGTCCCAGACAGCCAAATCACCGCATGATTATCCACATTTCGTCACAATTCACTCTGTCGAAGGCATTCGTTCGATCAACGAAAGTAAAGTGCAGTTGGGTCCGCATCTCCTGACGCCTCTCCTGCAGCTAAAGGGTGGTGAAGATCCTGCCCATGGTGCCACGATAACGGCCAAAGCCGCCCTGACTATTCGCCAGATGACCTTAATCCAAGTGATTGTGCAGGCGGTTGAGAAGAATGTGAGCGAATATCTTACCGGCAATGTTCAGCAAGCAGATGCCTCGGTAGTTGTCGCAGAGCTGGCGGTTTTTTATCCGTTTGTATAGGTGGATGATAGTGGTGTCCTTGAAGTCATGCGAGACTTCTCCTTGACGCCGCATATCCTGAAACAGTGCCGTCAGATGCTCCATGAATTCGGGACCATCGTGCTTTTAGACCTCCACAGAGCTCGCGTCCGATGCGGGCGCTTTCCCGCTGGAGAGCTTCTGCACTGTCCTAATAGTCTCGTGGAGAGAGAGTGGGAGGTCGAAGTTAGTGTTGGTCTTCATTTGGGCAGGCGGGCGATGGCGGTGTCGGAGATGTTGGAGGGGCGATTGAGGAAGCCTCTGAATTATTCGGCCGATCGCTGCAGAATTTGTGCCTTCTCGGTAAGTGGGGTTTTTCAGTCGGCGCCGAGGAGAGGTGCAATACCTTTAGCGGGCGGACATTAGATGGCGGAGAGGAAGTTATTCCATTCGTTGTGGTCGCGCGAGCCCTTCGATCTCCATGGCTTTGCGGGCCAACCGTGCGTTCTGCATCTCGCGCAGACGCTGTTGCACAAGGCGGCAGCAACGGTAGAATGCTGCTTTGTTGTCGTCTTCGTCGGTGGGGTGGTCTATGTAGGCTTTTAGCAGGCAGTCCTTCTCGGAGAGTAGTTGTAGATGGCGGGATGCGCGACCGAGGACGGCCAGCGCCTGCGACTGGATTTTGTCCTAACAGTTCTCCACGGAGCCGTTCTTGTCAGCGGCGGCGGCGGCGGCGGCGGCGGCGGCGGCGGCGGCGACCGTTATGTTGTCTAGTCGCTGAGGTTGGTCGATTCTTAAATGGAGATGGTGAGCGGGCAAAGATAACAAGGCAATTTTAAGCTTGCCCGGGGGTCGTTTACCTTGACTTCTCCTGTTATGTCCCATTGTCTGCGTCTCGCGCCTTCATGCCACCGTGGAGCCGACGCATCATCTGACTTGATCTTTCTTGCTCTTACTCTGTCACTTACGCCACCGTCGTTTATCTTTCCCAGGATAAAATCTTAAGACTGTATTTCATAAAGGTTGTGCAGTTTTCAAGCAGTGCGATTTTGCTTGGTGTTTGCCAAACTCTGATCGATAACACGCTGTAAAGGAGACTTAGTGTAACGTTCAGCAGCTGAAAGACAACAATTCCACACCAGCATCTGGATCACCTGTGGCTACATTGAGCTTAGGCGAAGGGCTAGCGTAATTCAGGGCAGCAGTCGCTGTGAGACTGAAAAGGAGATCGAGTAGAGAGTGCCTCATCCTCTTCTTTCACGGAAATCGATGCCCCACCCTGATAACACGCAACGCGGGCGTGCCTGCAATCTGCACGCACGAAACGCTACCCAGCCAGCTCCCCCCTCTGCATAAGATCAGTAGATTTTAGTACAAATCAGTGCACCTAGAGTGGCCTGATCTGCTCGCGTCTGTCTCTTGGTTTTTGAATAATGACAGGTGCCCTACTGCAATGAGTGCAATGTTTGATAGTCGAAATACAGAGCTGCGGCTTTTCAACCAGATCGCGGGGAATTTACCCGACATGTCAGTGTTGTGCCACACCAGAAGGTATAACCACTGTATAGTCTTAAATTGCCTACACGTCAGAACCGAGAGCCCCTTCAGCTTACAGAATATATTTCCTAAAGTCTCACGCATCCACGTTGATTGAATTTTTAAACCTCGGTGCCACGGTGGGATTCGAACCCACGACAGCAAGGGTTTAACTATGTCAAGTAATCCATATCTCCTTATTTTGACTCGCAAGGCGCGCCTATTGCAGCTTGGCCGACTATTGTCGATATCTCCGTATTAAACTCAAGAACAAAGACGCGTTATTTTGATGCGGATATGAAATACTCGGCTTCTCGGTGGAGAAGTTTAATACGGCTAACGCTCTAGTCACACTTGTTAAGAGACTCCACCGGACGAAGCTAAATTAATCGTATCTGCCATAATACCTATGAATTACGTGAGACTCGTAGCCATCAGGTGAATTCTAGATAAATAAATTAGAAAATTCTGCTTGGGAAATCAACTTACTTTATCAGATCTGGTGAATACCAGACCTTGAATTAGATCGGACGGGTAAACTTGATTTAGATGTAATTAAACTCGCGTCGTCCGGTGGGGCCTCTTATATCAGGCGGCTAGACCGTTGGATGTACTAAAGACTCCTTTTGCTGCTGTGGGTTCGAATCCCACCAGTTAGGCTTAGGAGCAACTTCGGAGACTGAAACCACTTATTTTTCAGAAGTAAAGCATTCTTAACAGTGTCATTTTGATGTGATGAGAATCACTCGATAGCTTGGACGAAAATAAAGTTCACTTGATCTTCCCGATCCCTTTTCGGCCAAGGACAGCAACAGACCGATGTTGTGGACGTACAGAGGGTGACATTTTTATAAGCTGCAATTCCTATGCTATCATGCGGATGAATATAATCATAACGTCCGCATTCTTTTCAGCTTTTCGTAAATTGTTTAACGATTTCCCGAGTAAATATGTTTAAATTGTGACTGTTCTCGATCTAGCCGTTTTTTAATTACTTACA